TTCAAATAAAGGATCAATTCTTGTTGCACGCTACACGTAAGCATTTCATTAATTTACACTTCTAAGGGGGGAGATTTATTGCCTATTTCCATTTCACCAAACTGGAAAAATTGTTTTCTGCTGTTTATAATATCGAGTGTTATGACTTTATCTTTGATTAAGCTTAACAAAACATTACAAACATCATATATGCAAACTCCTTCGAAAACATATGCATTAAATCAAATGAAAAATTTTCGGTCACATTGAAATATTTCAAGCTATCAAAAACACAAACTTCCCTTATTCCGGTTTCCTGATAATTATTTTCTAATAAGTCTTTGTAATAGCTTTCGTCATCTCTCAAAGCTTCTTGTTTTTCTGATACATCGTTTCTCATTTGGTCTTTAGTCCTAGTGCAAACACGACAGTATCTCTTAGAATTAAAAGATTGAACAAACCCCATTATGCTATTAACGGCTAAATTGTCTCCTATTACTAAACCTAATATAAAATGAACTTTTTTATTTCCATTTTTTGTTAAAATTTCAATGCCTTCTTCAAGAAGCTTTAACTCTTCTACAAAGTAGTAAAACGAGTTCTCAACACCACTGCATTTAATTGTTTTTGTTGAAATGAAAGCTCCATGGAAAATGTATTCTAGTTTTGATAACTGATGTTTTGGCATTGACGGAAAACTAAAATAGCATCCACATATCGAGTAAGTATGACTGCCAAGCGCATTGTTGATTTGGAAATCATCAAAATAAAGAATATATGGTATAACTAACTCAGATTGAATTTTATCTTTTCGTGATTTAAATATTTCGCCGCTAACAAAGTTCTGTATACTACTTTCTTTCAAGTATCTTTCTGTGTTCTGTAATGTGCTCTCCAGAAGGCATGGAATCTCAAAAATAGCTTTGAACTGAAAATTTAAAGGCATAATATATATGTCGAAAGATTTAGGAGTTAAGGTTGTGTTCCCGTGTTTTGTTGTTTCAGTAACAGATTTTTTTATGATTATAGTCTTTGGATGTTCATATAAATTAAGCTCCTTTAATATCTTAAAAAGCCTATATTCGGAACTTATTTCCTGAAATGGGTTCTTGCAAAACCCTAGCAATAATTGTAAGTCTTCATTGACATCACTGATAGCCTCTGAGCTTAATACATGCTGAATAGTAAAGGATACGGACAAAAGCAAAGAAGATACCATAGTCTGAATATCGATTACTTGTTTCCTAGGCAAATTGTTTTGAGCATACAAACTTAAAGATAAATACAGTGCCTTTTTCTTTAGATTTTTAGTTTCATTAACAATATTTTGCATTGATGAATTATCAACATCTTGAGGTTCTGTTTCCGTACTTAAATTATTACTTAAAATCGGTATCGTTATAGCTTCAGTTGGAGTTACGTTTGGTTCGTATGTGTTTTTAAATTTTGTATGAGTATTTTGTAAATGATTGCGGAACGAAGTAAATTTTGTAAATAATTGATTACAGTTATCTTGCTTGCATTGCAGTGGTAAAAGTTTCGTAGAAAGCTTATGATCTACTTTAAAATGACATATTAAGGTATCAATTTCTGCAAATTTTTTGTGGCACTCGAAGCAAATAAACATTTTAAAGCAATTAATTATATGTCATAAAAATCAAAAGAGACGTTAAATTTGCCGGCTTGCAGTCATATTCAGTATAAATTTCCAAAAAAAACTGTTGTAAAAAAACCCAAGAAGTTTCACATGCCTGAGGATATTTTAGGCAAAGAGTGTGAAAAATTTTGAAACAGATATCTAGGCATTCTAGAAACGAATCAAATTTATACAATGTTTTATCAAAATATATATAAAATCCTGTTATATCACCCTCAGCTATTCCTTCCACAATTATAAAAGGCTGTATTGTCATTCCTGCAGAATAGTACATACTTATCAACTCAGTAATTTTCCTTTCGTAATCGTTGATTGAAGTTAATCGTAAAACAAAGCTTTGTTGCGAGTCTGCTAATGTTGCTTTCTTTCTTAGCTTTCCGCAGGAACTTTGAAACCATGATGAAGGTGGAAGAACTCCATTCAGCAGCGTTGTAAGAATGTAGTCTTGCGTATCTTTAAACAAAATTTAAGAAATTAACGAAAGCCGATTGATTTTGGAGTTTTTTGTTACACTTGATCTGTATTTACCTTTGTTCGTTGAAGCTTTAGCAAGAGAAAAGAGCTGTTTGCAGAAATCGTTGTGTAGATTAGTTTCATAAAATCGTTGAATTTTTTCCGTAAACATTTCCCATTTCGAATACAAACAATCCTCCTTGTCAGGGTACATGATCTTGAAGTCAAGTTTTATCTGTAATGTGTAAATGTATAGTAAAACTGCGAGCTAAGTACGTAATTTCATTGTTACGAAGTCAGGAGCCCGCGAATCAGAATATTTGGGCCAGGCTTGGAGAAAATCAATGTTGGTCAGTTCCTTTAAGTCATTCTGTCGCAAGTTAAATGTCTTTTGCCATTTATCTCTGACTTCATTCCAATCGGCAATGCTTCTGCTGAGAGATGCTTTTAATACTCTACATATCGTAAAATCAATTTCAGGAACTTCGTAATTTTTCGTGGAAGGATTAGTCATAGTACTAGCAGGTGATGGTGTGTTTTGTTCAAGGTATATTGTCTTCCTTTTCTTACTGCGTTGATTGACGTATTTCCCGTACAGCTTTCCACTAGGGCATTTTTTACCCTTGCGCGGAATATAATAGTATTCCTTGGGGGAAAAATAAGCAGTACAATAAAATGTATATTTTAACAATTTCATAATAAATAGATTACCCGGGCACCCTTTTCGTTTGGAAAGAGATTTATTATCTGCTCTAGCAAATTCACAAAATCATTCCCTCTTAGTATAATGTCATTTGCAATAACTTCGTCAATGATAATGCTTATGAGGTCGTCCCGGTTCCCGTTAGTCAAATGTAGATTCTTTTTGTAGGATTCGAAGATTAGTTTCCCCTTGCACGTTTGTTGAAGTAAGCTCGGTAAATCCTTGTTCAAGTAATATTTACATAATTATAATGTAATTTAGTTTAAAATAAAATTAATTGAAATTACTTTACTGAGACAGTGGGGCGAAGAAGATGACTGACTTGATGGCATAAAGTTGTTTTTTTGTAACCATTCAGTTACTTTGCTTGGCATTGACATGGTTTTATCATCTATTCCGAACTATGTATGTGCAAAATAAACTATGAGACCTAAAACAGTTTGTTTTATAACATATACATACCTCTTTCTTCTTCCACATGAATAATTTCCCTCTAAACTCCACACGTAGACCCAGCGGCGGAATGGCTTCCTTTAGGTCAGCACCTCTAAGAAATTTAAGGCTTCTAAAAGTTATCTGCGAAGCTGCAGATCGCGGTCGGATATAATAATAGAGAATAAATTAAGTTGATTAAAATATTAATTTATTAAGTCGTTTCTCACCTTTTAGGAATGGCAAAACATTCTCCATTACGAATTCTTTTAGCAGCTCGACCATCTTCTCCTCATCGTCATTGTCAACAACTGGTGTGGTAGCAAAAACCACTCCTTCTAAATTTTCACACATTTCTTCTGATTCAACGTTATCGAAATTATAAATATAATCTCCAATTTGCAACGAGTTATTCATTTTGTTCACAAAATATCAAAGGAAATACACGAAATTACTTTTTCGGTCCGAACCGACAGCAAACAAGAATAACTGAACTCAGCCAACTGCTTCTTCTTGCACATGCATGAGCATGATCATACATTTAATTATGAGCATGTTTAAAATAAAAACGTTTCTATTGGATGTGAAGCTTTTCATTTTTGATTTAAGTATTGAAAGTTGTAAACTCAAGACATTTTTAAAACAAATATGTGCGTATTAAAATTCAAAATGCAGCATTTTTAAATCAAATATTAAACATTTTAAAATTTAAAATGCATTTTTATTCTAAAAATTACATTTTAAATTTAAAAATATTTTACTTTGTTTTAAAATTTTTCATTTTTAAAATGAAAATGGCCTCATTTAAAACGTGCATAAGAAAAATAAAAATTTTATTTTTGTTTTTAAAATGCCATTTTTCTCTGAGTGTACATATAATTTATTTATTCATTTTCCGGTAACACCACCTTATATGAATTCGCGCTTCTAGCATCCATAGGACCGGGTTGTAATGGAAGTAATTGTATGTTTAACAAATAAATGAAAATGTTTATAATGCAATCAATAGATCCTTACGAATTCGCCATTACCAAGGCACTAAGTAACGTACGCACTTTTGTTTGCAAAATGAATTTATTTAAGCTGAAAGAAGACAAACTCCTTTGTTCGGCATTTATTCTTACTCGCTTTCTATCTGCCAAGGCGAATTAATATATTCTTATCACGAATTCATATATTCATGTGGTAGCAAGAGTATAAAAACATAAAATTACCTTATAAATTAAAAGCATAAGTATCGCATGTATGCGTAGTCCAATTCAATTAATCAGTTCATCGATCTGAATAAAAACTAAGTGCATTTCGCGTTAATTGTAATCATGAAATGGTGTTCATTCATTCAGTTTCTACTCAAACGCATGAAATGATTTCATGAATTGGCCTGGTAGTAAATGACAGAATGAGTTACAACAAACACATTCTTTTGACATAATGCACGCCGAAAACATTGGTTCAAATCTATCCGCAATCAAGTTGGACGTTTTGCCCACAAACATTGCAATTTTGCGAGCAGTCTCATTGTAAAATCTCATTTTTACAATTTCATAGTTTCGGCTTACATTTATAAAATTAAACGAAAGCACGTACCTTCGGCTGAGTTATCCATTTTCGGTTATTTAGTGTACAAAATAAACGCAAATTAAATGAGTTTGTACAACATGGCCATTAATGTAGCGATAAGTTGTACAAGTTGCCAGAAAATCCAAAATTTTTGATCTTTCATACAACCAAGACATAAATACATTCAACAGGCGCACAAACGGTGCAATCTAGAGCAAAATAACACCAAGTTGAACCAACGGTCGCTACGTTTATGGCTATTTTTTAAGAAATATCGGGCGAAAATTTCAACTGCTCCTGTAACACTACCTTAAGTTGGCCTTGCTATCATCCTCACATATGTTCATCAGAGTATACCAACGAAGGACGAGTTAATACAAGGAGATAGCGAGAGCACAAAACTACTCTAGAAAATTACACGCCCAATGACAAACATGAACAAATGTACAACAAACACATAATTTTTAACCGACTTCCAAAAAAGGAGGAGGTTATCAGTTCGTCGGAATATTTTTCTTTTTTTTTTCTTTTTTTTTTAATGTATGTTACCGCATAACTTTGCACCGATTTCAATAATTCTTTTTGCAACGGAAAGGTAGTGTCTCAGAGGTGGTCCCATACTAATTTGGTTTAGATCCGATCATTGGATCATGAAATATATAGATATATATATATTTTTTTAAGTCGGTTTTTTTTTTTGCTAAAAATTACTTGTTGACAATCAGTACAGCTCGCAGCTTATTAGATTTGTTTTCGTTTGTACTACATGTACACAAACATATGTACATACACAAATATATGTACATACGTACAAATATATATACAACCATTCAAACATATGTACATACATGAAAACATTGCTGTCCATAAGTACATACATATGCCTATCAGTACATCAATGAAGCCCGTTTGCTTCATCATAAATATATCCATGCAAACATATGTACATATGTACGAATGGATGTAGTTACGCAAAGCACGCTTGCATCATTTATACATATACTAGCAGACCCGGCGAACTTCGTCCCGCCCAAAATTATTATATAATTTATTGAAACTTTTTGGTCCAACATTTTCACCAACAATTCACGTTTACGATTTTCATTGGTACATTCGTCTGCTAAGATTATGGTTTGGTGGTCATTTGCCGCTTTAAATAACTTAAGGAAAGTGTTATATCCGTGAAGAAGCTCTTGAAATTCTCCAGTTGTGCGGCATTTCATAGCACGGTTATTCGCAAAGCGAAATAAATTTTTTCCTCTTCACTCCCTGGCGGCAACAATGACCCGGTTCTATAGTGAATGTCCTAGAAGCTTTACAGTATAGTTGGTGGCAATTTCAAAATGGGTGCGGATCATTGTTCTGCAGAAATGCAATATACATCTTCTTATTTCAGACGAAATACCTTAAAAGTTTGAATAATAATATTGGAAAATCACATCCATTGGGCCAATCGCAACGCAGGAGCGTTCGATATACTCAATGGTGCGACAGCTCGATTTAATCTTACCTTCACGGCCCCTTTCTCACTTGGCTATTTTTAGTAATAACTTGACTTCAGCACCACTTGGCAGCACGTTTAATATTTATTTATTTATTTATTTATTCGTTTTAATCTAGAAAAGTGTAACAATTCTTACAGATTACAAATTTAAAACATTAGCCAAATCGGATCATAAATAAGATTTTTAGTAATAACTCAACTACTGCGCCAACTGTCGGATTAAATTGTGAAACTAAACCATCCAGAGACACACTCAAACACACACAAAAAATTTCGTTAAAATCCGTACAACCATTTAGGAGGATTTCACTCACAAACACACCTACAGAAGAATTATAAATACATTCAAAGATAGCTAAAGGTCGGTACGTTTGTAGGCCTCACACCCCCTTTTCAAATAGCCCAAATTTTCTCCATGAGTATGGGCTTGATTTCAACTACATACATATCGCCATACGAAGTTCCAGTACTGTAACATGAATACTTTCAGAGCTATGTAGTATAAAAACTCGATTTATATGGGAGGTGCCACGCCCCCCTTTCCAACAGCTGCCCTTTTTCTTCATGAGTATGCGATTGATTTCGTATATCTCCATACCAAGTTCCAGAACTCTACCATGAACATTTCCAAAGATATGCAGTATGAAAAATTCGGTTTGTATGGAAGATGCCACGCCCCCTTTTCTAATAGTTCCAATTTTTCTCCAAGAGTATGCGATTGATTTCGTATATCTCCATACCAAGTTCCAGAACTCTACCATGAATATTTCCAGAGATACGTAGAATGAAAAATTTGGTTTGTATGGGAGATGCCACTTCTTCTTCTTCTTATTTGGCGCTGTAACCGCCTAAGCGATTT